GATTTTTGGTCATCTGGGAATATACCCAACAAAGGAATTGCAGGGTCAAATGGCAGGTCTATTTTTAGTTCTCTAAGTGTTCTCCAGATGTCTTGATTTTTAAAATTAAAAAGTATTATGAGAAAATTAAACTATATATGTTGGATTTAGTTATTACATAACATTTCCTAGGATCTTTGATTCTGTTTCACTAGAAAAATATTGTATTTACAATTTTCAGAAAGAATTAATAGATTGATAAGTAGTAGTCTTAGAAGAATGGAGACAGTTTTATACTTATATACATATATTAAATCAGAAATTTTAAAGATTAATACATGCATATTATAGGAGCAACCAGATTAGAAGCAGGTTTTTAGTTTAAAAATAGATCATGCAGGAAGGTGCCTATGGCTCAAAGGAGTAGGGCGCCATATACTGGAGGTGGTGGCTTCAAACCCAGCCCCAGCCAAAAACTGCAAAAATAAAAATAGATCATGCAAATCAGAAGTAGGCCTTCGTATTGAACTAATAAGCTACTGATGACAAGTTTTAGTGTTTATCGTTGAACTAGTCATACAGCTTTATATATGTGTGTATGTATGTGTATATATATATATATATATCAATAAAACTTTTCAGAAGACAAATCACTAAATTTTAAAAACGGGCTTTCACTGTCTTATCTCAGCTACACTTTACACTGACCCATCAAATATGAAGTGTTATTTCATAATTCTCTCCATTTGAAAGTTAAAAAAAATTGTAGCTTAGAAAAACTAAGTTGACTTTCTCAAGATCTTATGGTTAGAGAAAGTCCATTTGAACAAATATTTTCTGACTCTAAATCAGCAACATATTTAACCGTATAGTGGGAAAAGCATGGATTTTGCGGTCTGAGAGAGTGTAGTTCTGTCATGTTCAACTATTTCCTTAAGATCTCAAAGTTTTCATTTCTCTGATATCTCAAATTTCTCAGTTTCTTTATGTAATGAGAGTAAGAATCACTTAGTAGGTTTTTTCAGAGGAGGATTACACGAATTAGCCTGTGTAAAGTGCTTGGTAGATTGTTAGTGCTTTGCACCTAGTGAAATCAATATCTATACATATATATATATTTTTTTTTTTGAGACAGAGTTCACTCTATTGTCTAGATAGAGTGCAGTGGCATCATAGCTCACTGCAAGTTCAAATGCCTCAAGAGGGCTTAAACAATCCTCTTGCCTCAGCCTTCTGAGTAGCTGGAGCTACAAGAGATGCCATCACACCCATATATTTTGTTTTGTTTTGTAGAGACAAGGTCTCACTATATTGCCTAGGCTGGTCTCATACTCCTGGCCTCAAGCAGTCCTCCCACGTCAGCCAGAGTGCTAGCATTACAGACATGAGCCATTGTGCTTGTCCATAAATCAGTATTAGTCCTCCCCCTTTTTTCACTGCATCATGCTGTCTTAATGCATAAAACAACCAAGGAAGGGTACCTAAAATAAATAAATGTATGCTCATCATCTTCAGTTATCACTGATATACATTATGATCATTTAAATATACATGATTGATCTTTTGAAGCCAAATCTGCCAAATTCTTTTTCTAGGAAAGCGATTTTAAAATATTCTTTTGAAAACGTTTGTTCAGATGATGCCTTGTCAAAGGAAAATATGGGTATGTAAAGGAAGTCCTGTTTTTAATTATTTAACCTGTATTAAATTCTGCAAAATGTATTAATAGTTGTAGTCCTTTGAAGGAAAAAATAATCTGTTGTGCATATATATGAGAAATATTAATAGGTCCTTTTGGTATTGATTTACATAGTGGACTTTTTAAATTGTCTTTCTTGGGCTTTCTATTTTCTCGAATTAAATTTTCTCTGGCTTAGTCATGTTTTTAACTTTTTTAAGTAAAGCATCCTGAGTTTTGAGAGGAAATACCAATAACTATAAGTTTCAATCCAGACTTCTCCACTCCAAATTCATTGGGGTCGTAGGAGTGCTGAAGGTAGAAAAGGAAGAAAACCAGCAGACTGGGACTTGCAACTGAAGTAACTGTCATTGGTACTAGAACATTGGTACTAGAACTAGTATAGTGAATGTGGAATGCAGGGAGAAAGTTTTAATTTTCAAAGGTGATTTACTCTTCCTACATTTTTTTAATCTAGAAAAGCAGTCAGGGTGGCACCTTTTGAGGGTGGCTCAAAAGGGTAGGGCGCCAGCTCCATATGCCCGAGGTGGCGGGTTCAAACCCAGTCCTTGCCA